TGTATGCTGTCTTGTAAACACATAGCGTCGTGTGGCGCATTATTGTATGCGGTCATGCAAACCCTCCGGGTCATGTGCATATAGGTAAGCAGCTTTGTGGTAGTGTAACTAAGTCACATAAAGTTTTATTAGTAAAGGTGACGTGAATAGAGTTTTCGGAACTCTATAAGATGGAGAATTCCAAGCATAGCGCTCTATGTAGCCTAGTTGAGAATGGAAAGAAATTTCCAATATCCTAGGGACAGTGGGAGCGATGTGCCTACTAATGGATTACTCCATTAGAGAAGAATACTCTACATTCTTAGTTGCGTGGTAGCAAATGTGAAAATTTTTCACGTCATCACTGGGTGATTGAGAGGGAAACATTCATGATTGCTCCCCAAGATGATAAAGAGCCTAGGATAATGCCAAAGGCTCTAGTCCCCTGTTTTTAGAAAGTGGATCAATGTTGCGCAGTTTAAGACAAAGTCTTTGAAGATTAATCATTTCTATAATTTGGTTGACTTTCCATTATGACGCAAAACTCTATTATATCTTGCATTAAATATTAAATTTTCATGTTTAAAATTTTTTCTAGATTCAATTTCTAGGCTTTGATACCAAGATTGAGGATCTCACAATGTCTTAAAAGTGAAAACTAAATTTTTCAAAATTATACTGAACTTAAGAGTTTAACTTATAAAATTATACTAAAGTTTTACGGTCACTTTGTAATTTATGAAACTAAAATTAAGTGGAAAGATGAATAGGCTTGTTTGGTGAGTGGAAAGATGAGGTAGATGATTAGGTGGAATGCCACTTTAGTGGTGCTCTTTTTAGGAATGCAATATTAGTTGTCTCAATCTTTATTCTTAGGACATTGTCTTGACTAGATTGTAGATAAAAAACACAAACCTAATTGACAAATGTGAAACTATGTCTGTTGCACTTTCTTACAAACTTCCACAAGAGAGGTTTTTATTTTAGGTACAATAGAAAAAACAAATGACTAAGCCCTCTCTCTGGAGGCCTATCATATCCGCTACGAGGATGATCCTAATTTCACCTAATGGTATATTAACCACCAGGATGTCTTCTGGTTGCTCCGCTCCTAGTTTTGCCCAAGCATCAGCACAAATTCCCTTCCTTGAAGATGTGTTGTATGGTACATTCACATCCTTTGAAGAGAATTTTAGCATCCTCCAATAGTCCCTTGTATAGGAATTTATCATCCATGTCTTCTTCCATCAACTGCACTAATTACTTTGCATCAGTTTCAGTGATTACCTCATGCATCCTCTTCTGAAGCATCACTGTTAGTCCCTTATAAAGAGCCCACAATTCTACTTCCAAACTTGTTCCACTGTCAACCTTGCCATAGTAGCCACACACCCAAGTGCCTCTTTCATCTCTAAAAACTCCTTTAAAACCTTCGCTGCCTTCTATCTTCCTACTGTCATCAACATTCAACTTGATTTTTCTTGCAGGAGGTAAAATCCAAGTTATCAGTCTAAAAGTAGGCTTGGAATTAGTAATAAACATATTAAAAGCCAAATCAATATCTCTAGAGTAATCAAGAATAAAATTGATGCTATCTTGGCAACTAATTAACAAGTTCTCAAAAATAAACAAATTTATATTTTTCCAAATTTTCCATAAAGTCATAATGAACACAGAGGACCATGTTGCCTATTCATTAAGATGTTTTTTTATTTTATTTTTGGAATTAGAAATAAGCCAATCTTGCCAAGGCTTTCTATTCATTTCCCTGCACCATTTTCTTCCACATAAAGCCAACCACATTTCTTTAGCTTTGTAGCAATTACGATATTGTTTGATTTTATTCATATCAAACAACGATATATGTACAAATGTTTCTTCTGTATTACTAACTAAAGTTCTGCTTTCAAAGATATATACATTCAGTTTACTTCGAGGTTTGAAGATTGAGTTATTTCCTTAATTGAAATTTTCAGTATTTTCCAATCGTTTACGAAAAATTCTGATTCTTCAATTTCAAATGATTCAGTTTCTCATTTCTTAAGAAAGATCATGTCATTCTCATCATCTGAATCTATTATCATCATAAAAATAGTTTCAGTTAAAGCTTCCTCTAAATTTTTTTCATCGTTTTCATTAGAACTATATTAAGATTTTAATTCACATTCTAACATGAGTTCTTCTACTTCATCGTTAGACTCTATTTCATATCCTCATTATTGATATGACTTTCATTTATGTACCCTTTTGTGACTTTTGACTATGTCATAAGGTAAGGGGTTGATGTTCTGCTACTTTGGTATGTTGCCTGCGGTCATGTATGATTCGGCCTTAAGGGACATCACTAGGAAAGCGGTCAATCCTAAACTAAATGGCATGAGGGCAAAGGGAAGATCATCTAGTATTACACCACTGTTGTATATTCACTGTCAGCAACTCACATCGCTCTGTATGAGAGGCGAATTGAGTGTGAATATATTGCGAGAATTGAGAGGGTCAAACATGCTCTTTTTGAGGGATTAGAGATATTTTTTTGACTGGTGTAATTACATGGGTCTGGGGTATATGAGACACTATTTCTGTTCTTTTTGGGTTGATGTCTCTATGCTGGCTCATTTTGAGTTTCTAGTATAGAGCTCCCACATGCAGGTGTTCTCAGCAGTCGCACGGTACAGTGGCTAGTATGAGATTGTTTATTTTTGAGGTTTAAGACAAAGTCTTTGAGGATTACAGCCACTAATTTTGGTCAATCGGCCACTTTTTCTGGCCGAGCCTATGTGGCATGACCCTTTGAACCTTTTGAACCTTGAACCTTTTGAACCTTATCCATGTAAGTTTGAATTTGAATTCAAAACTTATTTGGATAATCATTCAGGATATCTATATCTATCATATCAATAGATATGGATAGATGGATAGATAGATATTGGTTGTTATATTTGATTAATATATTTTATATATAATATATTTAATAGATCAAATACGAATATTAGATATACGTTATGCGGTTTTTACCCATAACTTTTTTTCCAAAACTCTCTCTCTGACTTTCTCCCATTAAAACAACGATCAAGCCTCTGCACTGTGACTTGTGTGGGTGATACTCATTTTTTAGTATCACTCCACTGCTGGGTTGATTGATCAGATTCTAGAAGCACGTGATTTACCCACGAGGTTCTTGTCAACAAGGTATGATTCTAATATTTTATCCGCTGCGTTATTATGTTTTATGATTTACACCAGGAATATAGGAGTAGGTAAGGTGGGCTTCTTTTTGTAATTGTTCCAATTTGACCATAAATAAAAATACATAATTACCCTTGAATCAACAACAATTTGAAAAATTTTAATACCCTAATTTGTCAACATATTTGTCCACTTGTTCACTTATACGTTCACATGTCCTACTTATCTTTCATGAGTCCACCGATGTGTTCATGTGTCCACTTGTCAGTCGCCAATTGTTAACAACTTTTTTAGTTACTCTTCTAGTGCCGATCAACTTTTAACCTACTTTTTTTGTAAGTGAACTATAGCGGCCGGTGACAATTGATAGTAGTATATGAGAAAGAAAGAAAATCGAAATAGAAAATGAACAACAATAAAAATGAAAAAAAAATTATTTAAAATAATAATTTGTACTTCTCATTAATATATTTCATTAACTATGTTTTTATAACAAAAACAAATTAAAAAAAGTAATGCCATATTAACAAATAATTCAAGTATAATTTTTATACATAATGATTTGGCTTATTATAAATCTTTCACTTTAAAATAAAATTTATTAAAAATAAATTTATTTATAATAATAATAATATTACCATATTATTCTGCTCAAAGTTTATGTATAAATTTTAGACTTTTCAATACCTAACCTAACCCAACCCAACCCAACCCAACCCACATTATTTATGCAAATCCATAGGAATGTTTGTGTATATTTAGCATCACCCGAGTAGACATGGATGATGCAAGTATGTGCAGGCAAAGTCAAACTTGTTTCCTAGGTTATGACGACTTGGATGATGTTTATAATAATTTAGAGTTAGCCGCATGCGATTTATTCAATGTACAAATCACTTCCCTCTGCTACAAGAAATGACGCTTTTGGCGACCAAAATATTGATCGCTAAAATCTCCATTTTTGGTTTCCGAAACCAATTAGCGACTAATTTTTTTGTAGCCAAAGTCGTCGCCTATACTCTGTTGGCAATAGTATTGGCGACTAAACTATTGTTGGTCGTCAAAAGTGAACGTTTTGACTACTAAACTTTGGTTAGTCGGCAAAGGTTATTTTTTGGCGACAAAAACATTAGTCGCCAAAAGTGAACATTTGGCTACGAAACTTTGAGTAGTCGGGAAAGGTGATCTTTTGGCGACTAAATATTTAGTCGCCAAAAGTGTTCAAATAAAATTAATTTAATTTTCAGTGACTAAAACTTTTAGTCGTGGATAAGTTTTAGTCACAATATTACTACATTTAGGGACTAAAGAATTTAGTCGCAAAAAAAATTATTTTTCATTTTATTTTATTTTTTGCCACTAACCATTTGATTGCCTAAAGTCTCATATAGTTTTGGCTACTAAATTTTTAGTCGCCAAAAATCTTTGGATTCTTTCTGGCTACCAAATATTTAGTCACTAAAGATATTAATTTCCTTTTTGGCTACCAATTGGTTGGTCGCCAACAAATTCACTTTTTTTTTTGACTACCAAACATTTAGTCGCCAAAAGCTTTATTTAGTGTTTTTTTTTATTATAATTAATTTCTTCACAACCTGTATTTATTTCGTGCAAGATGCACCCTGTATATAAACAAAATAATACATATATCTATTTCTATTTCGTTTCAACCATACAAAAATTTGGTCTTTTAACATCAAATTCTATACAAATCAAATATAATCCAACCCAAAATAGTAATTCCATACAAACAGAAAATCATACAAAAAAGATGTCCTCTGTACACAAAATTTTACATCAAATGTCATTTACAGAATATTTTGAACGTGTAAACATGATGGGAAAATTAAATTTATTTACTAAAATACTTGCTTAATTTGACAATAAAGCCATTGATCTAAATGCCAAACTTATAATCTGAAAATTGAGGGAATGCTTGTCTCAGAATGTCCAAACCTATAATCTGAAAATTGAGTGAATGCTTGTCTCATTGAGGAAGTCACACCTCCATACAGTAAGTACCTCACTTTCGCATTGATCTTAAGGAGAACATTAGTAAGATACTGGTCATTAACTCTTGTAAGTGCAATGCACAGAGTGACAATGCCAAAGTCAGCAAGATTCTTTCGTTTCCTTGGACCTTAGAAATTAAAATGGATTTATTCATTAAACACTGGTAAAAAAAAAATAGTGTGATAAAGGAATAAATCAAATCAAACAAACCATATAGATCAGAGTTCTTCCTCTCTGGAAGCAGACAGAGAAGAAATTGAGGAGCCCTAGAAGTTTGAATTGTATATCTTCAAACATTTTTTCCACTCTAACAAGAGGTGGGGCCCGCCTATTTTGTGGACTCTCTTCAAATACATCGAACAGAGCTTCAATTTGCTACAAAAGCAAAATAAAAAAGATTTGTATTTTAAATCATATAGTACTGAACCTAAGTTAAGCTAGCATAAATGACAGGACATACAATTCCCTTCATGTCTCCACATTTGATCAAATCCCTAACAAGGCCATGGATATTGCAGCAAGCTGAAAAGTTCACAATAGCCTAGCGACCGATCTTTGTTGGGTCCACTAGTTTCTACAGCAGCAAAGAAAATTTTTGTAAGAACACAAAATTAAGGTTGAACTGTGCGAAGTTTTAAGAAAAATAAATAAATAAATTAGAGAGCCATGCAGAACCCAAAGCCGTTGATCTAAATGAACCTAAAGCCATTGGTTTGGAGAGAACAATGAATCCATTGATCTAAATGCCAGCTTTAATGAAGAGATCAATGGCTTCATTGAAGTGTAAATTAATGGCTTCATTGAAGCTGGCATTTAGATCAATGGCTCCATTGAAGTGTAAATTAAAAGCCCCTGTTCTGCACAAAATCTTACAATCTGTCTCCCTAAAAATTCACGAGAAAAAAAAGAAGAAAGAAAGAGAGAAATAATAAGATACCTGACCAAAAATAACAGCTGTATCAGTGCTCTTTGAGAGATCTATGGCTTCATTACACTTCAATGAAGGTAAGAGTTGTAGGCTAAGATGGTTCAACCAATTGGACCCAAGGATCAATAGAAAAGCTTTTAGTGAAGAGGAAGAAGAGAGACTAATGGCTACTCACAGGCTGTATGGAAACAAGTGGGCCATGATTGCTAGGCTTTTCCCAAGAAGAATTGACAAAGCAGTGAAGAACCATTGGCATGTTATTTTATCATCTAAAATTGCACCTAATAACAGCTCATGAACAAGTAATTACAAAAAACTGAAATTCAATCTCAAACTAAAACAACTGAAATTCAATCTCATGAGCATTGTACCTAATAACAGCTCATGAAACTGAAAAAAAAAATGAAATTCAATCTCAAACTGAAATTGCACCTAATAACAGCTCATGAACAAGTAATAAAAAAAAAAACAACTAAATTCAATCTGGGCACAACCAAACCTCATAAACAGATGTCAAACACATGAGCATTGTCCAGTTTCATTTGAACATTTTGTCAAACACATGGTGAGCAAAAGGGTCAGAAGACAACAACAAATACAAGCATGGACGAAACAGGCCAAGTTAGAGCAGTAGGTAGAGAAAAACAAACAAGCAAGAGCAGTAGTTAGAAAAAAAACAAAGAGAACAGGCCAAACACCAACTACACCCTAAAACCTCTCACCACTACCAAGTTAAACACTAGATCATTCATCGCAAAGACCACATCCTTGCACTTATATTTGACCCACAAAGCAATTTTGAACCAAAGATTTCCATCTGACTTGAATTCCATTAAACTTAAGGTCATTACGAGCCTTCCAAATTGACCAAACCATAGCCTCCATATCTTCTTTTCCAGCTTCCCAAATTTAAACCCAAACCCCCAGTGTGACAAACTTGAAAAAGATTATGGTATAACCTAGTGAACATTCCACTATTCTAGTAATTCAACCCATATCCTCCATATCCAAGGACAATGAATGAACAGATGCCTCAACCTTAACATGGGTTGATTTGGGGTTGGGTTTGGGTGAAGGTATGCAAATGGAAGAAGAAAACCCTAGAGGCAAAAATTAGGGGAATAGAGACTGAAAAACAGAGAGAGGGCAAAATAATGAGGACATACCTGGGGTAATACTTCAATGGTGGATTGATGGTGACCGAGGCGATCTTCTTTGGCGGGGTTTTAGGCAGCATGGCCTTTGCTTTTGTATGCTGGCTCATTTCCTTCTTGCCCCTGGTTTCGGTGAGTCTGGCATTCAGCTAATTGAAGTGGCATAAGCCTTGAAAGAGGGCAAGAGTTGCATTGGCTTGGTGCTGGCCAAGACTTTGATGGGCTTAGACATTGTTTCCCACCCTTTCTCATATCACTTGGCACTCGTGCTCTTTTTTTCTCTCAAAGCCCTTTTCTCACTTTTCTCTCAACATACGTCTCTCTATTCTTTAATCTCTCTTTTCTTTCATCCCTCCCTAGGTATGCCTAATGGACAAGCTGAAGGTAGTAGACTCTTGCACTGCATACTTAGCTCGAGCGTACTTCTCCCGCCAATAGCTAGTGGATTTCCAAACGAGGGGTGATGGAGCCACTGGATGTGCAACAGGTCTGCTGTTGACATTGCATGGCGTTGCCCTTGGCTTAACCTGACTGAAATGAGCTACAACATGACTCGGCAGCCTGGCATTCAGTTAATCAACCTGACACACTGTGTATTCTACTTTTCGTTCCGGTTCAAATGTTAGTTTGGACATGATCAGACTTGTCCAGAGGAGGGGGTAAAGTACCCAGTTTCATTCCCCATCCAAGGTTCACATTTGGCTAGGTACCTCACTACTTGGAGAACAAGAGAGGCTTCTGGCCCCTGCCCCTAGTTTCAGCTACACCCTTTCTGGGGAGTGCCTGGCTTGGTTCAAAGATGAGGCACAAACCGGGCCCACTTTGGCATCAGAAGCTTCCACAAGCATGAGCGAGGGATGCAGGAACACCTGACTCATTTATGCCCCTAGTTTATTGCTTTGATCTTTACTTTTCAAGTTTTTTGAATGTAATAAAAGCAACTTTGATTTGTATCGAGAGTTGGAGAACTTTGTATTGAAATCAATGAAATTAAAGTTGTGAGCACTGAAAATTTTTCTTTTGGTCCAAAAATGGTCTAAGTTGTAAAATTTGAACAAAATCAACTTTTATCAAAGCTTTTCAAAACCATTTTCAATACGGATCACCACTTGACACACACGGAATCAATCCTCGAGATGTACAACCCTGAATCCAAAGATCACAAATTGCCCTTTGATTGAACAATACTGCGCAGCATTGTAACCAACCCTTCTCTCAGAGTAGAGATCACAACCGAACTTTCAGGTAAAGAACGGACAATGATGACCTGATCAGACACATGGATAGGATAGTTGATTTGGAGGTGTTTACGGCCAGACTTCAGGATGAAGTGGCCTACGTATCCCAAAGATGGGAATCAGGCCTTACGTAGTTCGGTTCAAGTTCACTCGAGTATTAACGCTCTCTTTTTACACTCTAACTTTTGCCAAGGCCGCCCTTTAGGGTTTTTAACCTTGCGAGCTCAGTTTTTCTTTATTTTTAATTTTTTGTGCTCTAACTTTTGCCTAGGTCGCCCTTTCGAGTTTTCGGCCTAGCGAGCCTCTTAGGGATAATATTTCTTCAACTTGTCCATATTGATCGGTTGGGAAAATTCTAGGCCATCCAGGTCCATAAAAATAACAGCTCCACCCGACCAGATAGTTTTGATGATATAAGGACCAGTCCAATTGAGTTTGAACTTGCCCCTAGGGTCATGGATGGGAGCTCAATTGTCTTTCAGCACCAAATCTCCTTCTTTGAGATTCTTGGACTTAACCTTCTTGTTAAAAGCCCTAGCAATCCTGCGTTGATAACCGTGAACATGGTACAATGCTTCCAGTCGTCTCTCATTAAACAACATCAGTTCCTCGAACCTGCTCTGTTGCCAGTCTGCCTCTGCTATTTGACACTCAGTCATAACTCGCAGCGACGAGACTTCTATTTCGATTGGTAGAATAGCTTCCATCCCATAAACAAGAGAGTAAGGAGTTTCCCCAGTAGACGTCCGGATTGAAGTTCTATAACCCTAGAGTACAAATGGCAATTTGTCTGGCCAGTCCCGGTAGGTCTCAACCATTTTCTACAGAATATGCTTGATGTTCTTTTTGGCGGCCTCAATAGCTCCGTCGGTTTGCGGCTAGTATGTAGATGACTTATGGAAAGCCACGTTGTATTTCTCCAACAAGTCGATCACTTCTTTCTTGAAGTGGGAGCCATTATCTGAAATGATCTCGTTTTGAACTCCATATCGGCAAATGATGCTATTTTGGATGGACTTAGCCACATGCGTTGCTTTCAACACTACGTAGGACTAAGCTTCCACCCACTTTGTGAAGTAATAAATTGCTACCAGAATGTATTCATGCCCATTCGACCCTTTTGATGTAACCGCCCCAATGACGTCGATTCCCCAGACTGAGAAGGGCCATAGTAAAGTCATGTTGTATAGCTTCGACGGCGGGATATTCATGCGATTTACATGAATTTGGCATTTGTCGCATCTCCGAACAAAACCGATGCAATCCTCCTCCATGGTAGACCAGTAGTAACCTTGCCTGAGAATCTTCCGAGCTAACATTACTCCGTTCATGTGCGTTCCGCACTCTCCCCTATGGATGGCCTCCATCAGGCACCTTGATTCCTCTACTTCGACACACAACTTGTGCATTTCCAAATGACCCCTCTTGTACAGTTTACCTCCGTAGATGATAAATTGAACAACCATTCGCTGTATTGCCCTCTTGTCTTTGGCATTTGTCCCTGCTGGATAAACCTTCTTTTCCAAGAAATTCCAGATATCATAGTACCAAGGGTTTTGATCTTGCGCTTCATCTATTGCGGCAATAGTCTCGTAAGCCAGCGTATACCTCTACTCAATGATGATCGGACGCATCCAGACTCCAAGTGAGATGTCTATCATAGAAGATATTGTTGATAAAGCGTCAACCAACCTGTTGTTCTCCCTGAGTAGATGCGTGAAAGTCAACTTTTCAAACCTAGGAATCAGAACATCTAGGGTCTGGTGATAGATCTTCATCTTTTCTTCTTTGACCTTCCAGTCTCCATTTGCTTGAGACACAACTAGGTTTGAGTCCCCGATCACGTCCAACCTTTTTGCCCTTAGTTCCAAGGTGGCTTCTAAACCAACGATACACGCCTTGTATTCTGCTTCGTTATTTGATACCTTGAACCGGAGTTTGAAGGCTAAAGGTATATGGGAATTGCTAGGTGCTATCACCAACACACCTATTCCACAACCATACTAATTAGATGCTCTGTCAAAGTACATTGTCCAAATCTCCTCCTCGACTTGCAGAATAGCTTTATCTGGGAACAGGTATTCTACCACTTTATCCCTCTTTACTGGGTGATCTGCCAGGAACTCCGCTATTGCTCTCTCCTTGACCGACTTGTGAATGACATACTTCAGATCAAATTCGGAGAGAAGAAGCAACCAAGGGGCTAGCCTACCCATAAGCACTGGTTTCTCAAAGAGATATTTGATGGGATCTAATCTTGAAATCAGAATTACGGAGTGAGCTAACAAGTAATGCCTCAACTTCCTGGTAGCCCATACTAAGGCTAAGCAAGCTTTCTCCAACGGAGTGTAGTGGGTCTCATAATCTAGCATGTTCTTGCTCAAGTAGTAGATGGCTTTCTCTACCCTATCCTCAGATTCCTGAGCAAGCATGCATCCCATCGTTGTGTCTGTTATTGACAGATACAAAATCAAAGGCTTTCCCGGCTCTAGCAGCGACAACACACGTAGATTTTGAAGATACTGCTTGACCTGCTCAAAAGTGAATCGACACCTATCATCCCATCAGAATTTCTTTCCTTTCTTCAGGAGACCAAAAAGTGGTTCACAAGTCAAGGTTAATTTTCAAATAAACCGTCTTATGAATTACACTTTACCCAGAAAGTCTCGCACCTCCTTTTCAGTCCTTTGTGGTGACATTTCTAGGATGGCCTTGATTTTGGAAGGATCTACCTCGATCCCCTTTGTGTGATCAAGAAACCTAGCATTTTTCCTGTTGTCACGTCGAAAGTACACTTCTACAGATTCAACCTCAGTCTGTATTCTCTAATCTGTTGAAAGAATTTCTTCAAGTCGGTGTAGTGGCCCTCTCTTTCTTTGGACTTGACAATCATGTCGTCCACATACACCTCGACCTCTTTATGGATCATATCATGCAAAATAGTGGTCGTAGCCCTTTGATAAGTAGCCCTGGCGTTCTTCAACCCAAACGGCATCACTCTGTAGCAGTAGGTTCCCCATGGCGTAGTGAAGGCGGTTTTCTCTCTATCGTCGGGCGGCATCAGAATTTGGTTATACGCCGAAAAACCTGTCCATGAAGGAGAACAATGTATGGCCCGCAGTAAAGTCCACCAGTTCATCAATCTATGGCAAGCAAAAATCATCATTCAGACTAGCCTTATTTAGATCCCTAAAGTCGACACAGACTCTGATTCTGCCATCCTTCTTCAGGACTAGAACAATGTTGGCCAACCACATTGGATATTCAGATACTAGTAAGAACCCTGCGTCGATCTGCTTGGTAACTTCCTCTTTGATCTTTAAAGCCCAATCCAGGCGTATTCTCCACAACTTCTGTTTGACGGGTCGGGCCTTGAGGTCGAGAAGGATCCGATGCTGTACAATCTCAGGATCGATTCTAGGCATGTCTTCGTAGGACCACACAAAAACATCTTTGAAATCTTTTAATAAAGCGACTAAGTGTTTGCGCTCCTCCAAAGACAACGTGGACCCGATCTGGACCAGACGCAAATTCTTCTTAGTACCCACATTAAAAGCAATGATTTCATCAGTAAGGGGTTTTACAAACCTCTCATCCTCTCGATTAATTAAAATTTTCAAAACCAGAGGAATTCATTCCTCTTCGTTTCCATTAAAATCTTGAAAGTCCTGATCAATGCAGTAAACAAGCGGCACAGAGAAATACTCAGAATCTACAATGGCATTCTCATTCAAAGGTCTAGCTCATCCAACTCTTCAGTTACAACCAACTCAAAAGGAAAAGAAAAGGACGACCTGGACAAGGCCTCGACATCCAGGTTATCACTCCCAAGAATACCGGACCCAAACTCAAAGAACCAGAATCTGATTCCGACTCCACAGACTCTGTTGAATCAAATTCTGGTTCACTACCCGACTCAGAACTACTAGACAGGTAGCCCTCCTCCACTTGCCAAATGAGAGATAGTGCGTCAGATGCATCCAAAATGCTGCTAGAAGGGTTCACACCCAGTTGGTCCCTGATCATGGAAATGGTCAGGTTATCCCCCAAGCTCTCTAAGTCGATCGT